CGTTGCGCCTCGTGTTTCCGCTTTCGTGGAATTTTTCCCGTTCGTTTTAATTCCTTAGCCCGCTTTAATTTCCTCGTTTCGAGGCTCCGTTACGTCAGTGTCTTGAATAACGATTACCGCTCCTGAAACGATCCGTCTGCTACTCGAGTAGCCTTTTCACGAATTTCGTTCGTCTCCTTTGCACCGATCCTCCAATTTGGCTTGTGTTAGCAGCCAGTCGTAGACCGACGACACTCTGTTCCGTCAACGTGGACGTGGGATTGTTAGAAAGGATTTCTTTTTCTCTTCTGTTGCTTACAGAACGTCAGAAAATATGTGTGGAATATTTATAGGATCAATTCTAGACATTAAAATGACGAAAGTGAAGTTCAGGAACAAAAATATGATTTGAAACTCGTTTTCAATGCTACCATGACGAAAATGAAAACATTTTTAATAATAAATAGATATAAGTTTACGTTTACAGTCTTTCATTAAGCTCGTCAATTATTCTGTTCAATTTACGTAACTGCTTAATACGATGAATATTTACAGGAAGCAATTATTATAATTAGAAAGTTGCGAAAAAGGGAATGGGGATTTTTCGTTCCACTTTAGAGTCACAGAATGGCCACAAGAGAATCGTTAATAATTGAATAAAAGCAACAAACGTGCGGGAATATCTTAATTTATCAGAGTCGAGTGTTTTTCATCGAGAACTGAAAACATCATCGAAACGAATTCCAGCGGAAATAAAGAAGAATACGATTCGAGGAGAGTAGCTGGGTTTCCCATTGCGAACGTATTGAAAGCACAGCCTTGAAATGGTTTCTCCTATGGGCCATTTTTGTCGGCCATTGCCTGCTGAAGCGAGTATCTTTTATTGCTTCCATTTTCTCTTTCTGATTTTGCTTCCAATTTTCTTCGCGATATTCTGTCGGATTAACGACTCGTGGGCGACTTCATTTTTCATCGATGTTTCTCCATCGATATAAATCCGCTTTTACAGTGAAAAAATAAGAAAAATATTTGCCCTTTCCTCTACGGTTACGCCATAACATAAATGTACGCCACATAATTTTAGAATTAGTCTGTGTCGTTCCATGAGCTTAAACGGAAGTGCCTGTCGTGAAAATGTTGAACATTTATTGAATTTTGTAGCAATGAGATTTGGTTGGTCCAATGTAGCATTTTTTCCTATTTTTATTCATTTGATCGATTTTATTATTGCACTTTTCTAATCACTCTCTGAGAGATATATTTTTTAACGTAAATGATTTGTATATAGAATTTAGAATCTCTTGTAGAGAAAATACTTCATTTGCGAGTTTCATAAAATAAAAGTATTTCTTAGGGGAGACATTTATATAGTAGGAATATTTCTTATACGATGTTGTTAAAATATTTTTAGAGTAATTTAACATTTAGGAAATTAGAATATTTGGAGATATATCTTAGAATAATATTTGAAAGAACTATTGTACATAAATCGTTAATATCATTATCTTTAGCTTTATCAATGACTTCACAATATAAGTTTTTAAAATAAATTTATAAATCTTTAAATTATTCTTCGTGGTCTTGATTGAAAATTCAATATGAAACCGAGCTAAAAATCGTAGACATAGTAGTTAAAAAATTTTTTAAATCCCACTTATTATTTCAAACAATTCCAATACTTTATTCGACATTTAAATAATCAAATCTGCAACTATCGAATCAAATTAAATATCACAGTAAATGAAAGAAATATTCAGAAAATTCCTAGAATTCCCTCTCACAGTGACAAATTCCATAGTTTGTAAATTAATTGAAAAAAAAATTGCAAATTAAATATTGCGTGTATACCTTAGCCTTCAATAAGGTAATTAAATTTATAAACTAGTTAAGAAAAGATTCAAGAAACTGAAGAAAAGACGGTTCAAATTTTCGAAGATTTTCGTCGAATTCACCAGAATCATAAGAACAGAAAGAGGATCTGGAGGAGATGAAAGTTTGGAATAAAATCACGTCGAGTGTCCCTCGGTTTGATTTGTATCTAATATGCATTTTATTGTTGGCCAAGTACTTAGCTAATAGAAGTAAACAAGAATGCTTCTCTTTGTTCTCTTGCTTATCGCTATAACCGATGGCCCATTCTTTCTGTCATTTGCACTTATCGTATATCTTCGTCATCGCGACAGAACGCGCGTTCTATTTTATCATCGATATATTTTATATACAAAATCACCGTGTTACCGTGTTCACGCAACTTCCACTAGTTTTTATCATTTTTTTTTTTTCTTTTTTCGTTAAATCTGCGTGCGTAATAATATAAATGTCCTTATCACATCCCATCGTTCTAATTTCATTTTCTGACCGTGTAACGTGTGTGCGCGTTAAGTCCTCGACAGATCAAAATATTCCTTTCATCGTGGACAGACGGTTCGACAATCAATCAATCGGTAGACAATTCGACAACTAATCGGTCGTCAAACAATCGTATAATATTAAAAGACGGTGGGTAATACATGGTGAAGATTTTCTATTTTCATTACAGGCAACTGATTTTTCTAGAAGCATTAGCACAAAACACGCTTAGAAATCTCTTCTCTTTCATCCTCTCGTAATAATTCTTACTGCGACTCATTTGTTTTCATCTATGTAAAACTATACAGCCGGAAATGTACAGTTATATCGTGCAATAAAGCCATGTATAACGAACTGATGGAATGACTAAAAAATTTGATGTAACGAAGTACGTGTATTATAATTCATGGAAATATTTTAACACTTGTAGAAATCCTTTATAAATATATTATGTGCGTTATAAGAAATATTTTGCAATTTTATTAACACTATAACGAGCCTCGTGTTTATAGTATTGTTACAGGATGAAACAAATCTAAAAATGTACACGGAAGCTATAGAATATTTAACACAAGCATATACTACGCAGAGATTATAAAAATGAATTATCCATTGCATTAATAAGCCTCAATATTCAGTGGAACGATTTTTAACACTTACTATATATTTAAGATGAGTGTTTACGCCGTATAATAATTTTTTACTAAATATATATGTTTTTCAATAAATATCTCGTAATTCTCATGTACATTTTCAGATTTGTTTCAAATTTTACCAATACAATAAGCATTTCTAACACAAAATTAAAGTGTTTATAACTTGAAGAAATAAACTTCACGTATCATTCGTGAACATCAACTTTCTGTATCATCTTGAGATTTATAATCGACTTTGTAAGAAGCACGTAATAGGTTTTTTTAATACTTCGTATACGAAACACCTATTCAGTTGTTACTCGTTTTCAAATCATTTTCCTAATCCCACGTAAAGTTTAGTACACGAAAGGACATTTCTTTTTAAATGTCATTCTTTACTTCAATATTTTCTTTCTTTCGTCTCTTTCGTCTTTAGAAAAGCAATATCATTGAAAATAAGTTTTCTTTCGATACGTTGTTTATCGTTATCAGACTGCGGATTTTTGTGCAAATTTATATTTTTCTAAATGCAATTAAAATAACAGGATTTAAATAGATATTTATTTCGCCTATTAAAAATAATAACGAATACTGCGCTGTGCATATTTCATATATTTTTAATCATTAAATTTTCCATAAATACATAAAAATCCGCAGTCTAATAATTACTTTAATTCTACTATTTTATTTCTCTCTATTTTTTCTTTTTTTTTGTTTCATTACCTTACTCCAATTTAGTTATCATTGGAGCAACATTTTGACTAAAAATTTCGCTATGGAATTTGAACCAAAGATGAAAGAAAAAATGGTACATTTAAATGGAAAAGTAAAAACTTTCATTCTGATTACTTTTTGTTCGAGTTCTTAGAAAGCGTTATTGCACGATATAAATGAAAATCGATAGCTGGCTTCGCCTTTCTCCTCATTCCCTGCTTGATCACTCGTACATGCACACGTTTACACCTTCTTCGATTTCATTCTCTCGTTCCTTCTCACAAATATACTGTTTTCCGTGTATACGCAACAATAGCTCCTTCTCCTTTCGCGCTCAACCGCGTTACAATCGAGGCAAACAGCAGAACATCCTATAGATATTCTAAACCGATATTAATACTATTCAGACGCGATCATCGAACATCCACGGTTGGTTTCTTATCGATCAATTTCACTTTACCTCGCGTATTGCCTCGCCACTTTCGAATCGAATTTTCTTCGCGGAAGTTCTACCAATTCGATGAACGCCCGCCTATTTTATGATGGGAATTCTGAAGATCGTTGGAAATAATTTCGAGAGGTACATTTAGATAGATATTTAATTGACTTATTGAATTCGTTTTTCGAAGGATTATTACCAATATTTTCAGGCGAAATAACGAAATCAATCGAATGGTTCTTTATAATATAAAATTATATATAATATATAAAATCTATCTGATTTAAACGTAGTATTATTTTTTCTCAAAAGTTGTCTTGGATTTCGAGCCTACTTTGAACTCAACTGATATAAAATACCCTTCTCAATTATCAATATTCCTATATAATGAATTGAATTAATTGTTTTGAAAGCGTACGACGTTTGAAATATCGTATACCTATATCTTCGTATTATTAATAGCTTAGAGCCGTGTTTCAGAGTTTAATAACTTTCCAACTAGGTTCCAAACTTATATTAAGTGTTATGTATTTTAAATTCCAACCAATGTTACGAGAGGCACAAAGCTGAAAGAGAATACACGTTTCTTTCGAGTATATCAATGGAATAATTGTAATCCAGTTTACGTAATTTATTTTCAATATCTTACGTTAAGTCTGTAATTTTACAACTTACTCTTAAATTAGCAGTAAGAATTGCAATGTATGAACTAGGAAACACTGTATGAATTTGTGATGAATTTAGATATTATCTATAATGTACTCGTAAATGACGGATTTCATTTACTCGAAATTGTCTCCAACTAAATCGAGCCGAAGGAAATAATTTGCCAAAATGGCGATTCGTATTCTTGTGCTCTGCACGATATCATTTATCTTTTTTTATTTCTTCTTTTGTAGTTAAATTGATATAATTCCTATATCATTGCTCATTATCAAATATTTCATTTTTACAAATAAAATCGAATTTTTTCGAAGGCACAGAAGAAGAAATCTTTCCATTGAACGCGTCAAAAATCTTTCGTTGAACACAAGCTGCAATAGAGAAATCAAAGATATTGAAAATCTATTAGATTAATGTGACAAATGTTTAAAAATCTATAAGAGAGGTTTGATCATTATTAAATAAATATGCATTGGTCCAGGTTATATATAAATGAAAATATTCTACATTTCTGTATGAACATTTATCAGTTTTTATTTGAAATTTTTATTCATTTTATGGAAATAGGACAAATGGGAATATATATATGAAAATTGAATTTTATTTATATTAGATCATATTGCATGTCTGTTTCCTAATTCTTGCGTTATATACATACATAAATACATTATTATTAGAAGTATTGCTAATATTAATGTTTCTAGTATTTATTCAAGAGAGAAAATAAAGATGTTAAGAAAGTTTCTTAAACAAAGCGTAAAGCCTTTTTATGAATATAAACTAAGAGTATGATAATACCTTATAACGAAGTTTAATAGTTCTTTAAAAATCTATTCACGTACTCGAAAGTGTATAACGTTTATTTTAAAATTGATTATCTTATGCCTAGTGCATCTAATAAAATTATATCTCGTACTTATTCGTAAATTTATAATATTACAGAATCCATTTGATCGAGTCCATGTATCTTATTCAATAGAACGTATACATATTCCGAAATGAAGAACGATGTCTTTCTTCTGCATCTTCGAAATATTCAATCCACAAACACTGTCATACTCAAGATAAAGTAATAATTCGTTTATTTCATTACCCATTATTTTTCATCTACGTCTTCAACATCAAACTACTTAATTGTCGCTTAGAAAATAATTAAATGTAATTCAAAAAACTTAGTCTATCAATATATACACAATACTTCTCCCCGCAAAATACAAAAGTATTCGTTCGCCATTTTCGAAAAATCCCTGTTATACATTCATCTGCTATTCAAACGATCACGATATATCAATCATTCATCTAGGTATTAATGAGAACAGAAAAGTTGACAAAATAGGCGAGGTTCATCCATCCTTACGACGTTCATTTGAACAGGATCGAATTCAAAATCAATGATAATTTTCTACGATGACTCGTGTGTACAACCACGTGTGATCGATAAATGTTCATACAGAGGTACTCCGTTGTAGATCAATAATTTTGCTTCGAATGGAAGCGTCGTTATCGACGACGAATTCTATCACAGATTTGCCAGGTTCTCCCTTCTTCTTTTTCTTTCTTTCCTTTTTATTTTTTAAGCGATAGGAAATAGGTTCACAGACTTCGCTCGATTCCAAAGGAAAGGATCGATAAAGCGAAAGAAGTCCGAGGTCCTAAGCGTTCCGTACGATGGATAAAACAAATTTCGACTTGAAGCCTCTGTGACAGTGATTGGCACGTAAGGGACTTGGTTTTTGGGAACCTGTGTCAGATACTTGACGTTTTACTGCGATCAAACGTTGATTATATTCATCTTTTTATGAAGCTGACGTTATATCTTTAATGCAATCGAAGAATGAGACGAGAAATAAGAAGTTTAATTCAGATATCATGTCTATTAGCCTTTTAATGGGATAGCTGAAAGTAGGTTTCATATTTTGTGACGCTTTTATAACGCTGGACGATAACTAACATTATATAACACTGGATGTTTATGCAAATTCGTATTTTCATGGATACACGTAATGCAATGGAACCTAAACAAAGATTTGTTTCGTTTCAGTAAACACTTTAAATAGTTTGTATATTCTATAAGCTTCCTGTGTATTTATATGTTTTTAAACTACTCGTAAATGTGTAAACATTCAAAATCTTTGAAACGAGTGGCCATTTCTAGAAAACTGGTTACTTGAAGACTAAGTTACGACTAGTAGCTGTCAAAAATACAAAAATTCAAAGAAAATATTCAATTTAAATCTCAAATAAAGCGAAAAAACGACACTAGTTAAATAATAGAAAAATATTAAAAAATAATAATGACATATTTGGATTAAAATTATAAGTTAAATAAGAATATTAAGGATTTTAATAGCGAAGAAAAATATTTTGCAACAATTTTAACGTACTCGATATAGATTGACAATTAGTGCGTTTGTCGCTATACTGTTTTAGAATCTGAACAATAGTGAATTTTTCAATTTTGTATACTTACTAAGAAAATACGACTACTGTGATATAAAATATATAGTGATGGAACTACGTATAACATGTACATACATCACTAAATAAATTGTTTCTTCTCATAACTTTAGGAAAATATAGATTACTATTATAATTTATGATTCATCTTAAATATATCATTAACAATAAGCTCATATCAAGAAAATGACACAGATTGTTCTATTCCAAGTTGGGAATGATTAATGACGCTCGTCCAATGAATAGACTTTTCTACATATTTTAAACGAATAAGTTTTTAAAAATTGCATCCTGAAGTTTACTTTCCACTGACGTATGAAATATATTTTACTTTTATCTTTCTATCAATTTTACCAAAATTACAACGGAATATAATTTCAAAAATAATACTATTTGTTAAATGAAAATGAATATCCTACTACCATTGATACAGTATAACGTCATGCTGTTAAACTTGAAAATTTGAAAACTAAATCCTACAAGAAAGAAAAAGATGTTGAAGAATGTTGAATATTGAATAATTATTGAATTGTTAGATCGGGTTATATTCTTCGATATTTCCGTCAAATTAGAATTTTTAATTAAAGTTTTATTGGAATTTATTCAATTTACGTTAGTAAGTCATTGTTGTCTTCAGTCTTACATTCTAAATTTCATTCTTAAGATTCCACTTATAAATTTAGCTACATACCCTCTACTAAATGGAAGATTAATTTGAGAAAAATCTACTCATAGAACTGATCTAATCTTACGTTAAGTACTAATATTAACCTATTATCCGTTCCACAGAAACTTGCTTCTCAATAATCGTACAGGAAAGCCAAGGAAATCCTTATCCCAAACGCAATCGAGGCACGCATGACCATCTGAGCGGCTAGGCTCAGAAGAAAAATGTCGCCAACGATATAAAGAAATCTGAACGAAATCTCGTTATCATGTCCAGTAAGGACTGCATTTATTGAAACTTTCCGCAATGTAAATACGAGAATCGTATATATCGAGTAGAAAAAGAAAAGGAAAATCTATGCAACGTGTCGTTCGATCACGGGAAAAAGCAGTCGACCTAACAATACTGCAAAAACCAAAACACAGAGAAATACAAAATACTTATATACACGTTTAACGCAGTACATCAAACGTTTTCCGCTTCTTCTGCTCTTCCCATATTTTCCTACATATAACACGTTTGACCAAGGTCTTTGAATTTCGTGCATGGTTTTTTTTGTCGCTTGTTTCTTTTTTCGCTTTTATTACAAACAAACGTCAACCGAGATTTTCCATACACGCACACGCACACACGCGTCATTCGCCATACAAAAAGTTTCGCGTAGGAAAATATAAATGAAGTTCAACTGTATCTCTCTTTTGTTTCATTTTTCTTTTTTTTTTCTTTTTTGTTTTGTTTTTAATCCTGAATTCTTTTTCTCAGACTTTTGGGTTCGAAAAAACAGTCGCTCCATTATATTTTAAAATTTTTTTCTCCCTCTCTCTCTCACTCTATCTCTCTCTTTCTCTCCTTTCTTCTCTCTCTTTCATTCTTACATCACCTTCACTCGTGCATACAATTCTTCTCACTCGTATTTCATTTTTTCCCTTTTTTTTATTCGCGTCTTTTATATCTTTTTTTGTTGTTGTTGTTGTTGCTTATCATTTGCACGATTACTCGCTCTCTCGCGTCTCGTATCTTTCGTACTACACATTTTGTTTTTTTTTTTTTACTTCTTTTAAATCGCAGCTCCGTTATTAAAATATAATAATTTCGATAATTCTCTACGATAAAATATTATCTTCTTCTGTTTTAACTTCATCCTCTCCGTCTCTTTCTCTCTCGTTCATTCTATTTCTCTCGCTCTTGTTCTTGCTCACTTGCCTTAATCATCCACGCATCGGCTATACATATCGTAAAATATACAGGCTCGCATAATCTCCTAACCTTAGCTAGATCGCTTATACGTTGTCCTTTTCTTGACGCTTCGTGACTATAATTACGATTTTCTTTTTTTCTCCATATCTCGCGCGAACGATACAAATGGCAATCGAGTACGCAACGTGACGAAAGAGGGATCCTTCTTCGTGGTACCGGGTGCACGATAAAGTTCACGTCTCCTTTTTAACTAATCAACCTCTCTATGAAATCCAAAGGAAACTATTGTACAAGCAAATTTCGAATTTATTACAAGCCTAAAAAACAAGAAAGATTCTACATGGAAAGATAATAAAAATTCTAAATAAAATAAAAATATTGGGCGAGTAACTAAGTAATAGCGGATTTTGCCATTAAGTGGTAATTTCTCATTACCACTTAATGACAAAATCCGCAATCACTTAATTGCTAACTCAATAGAAATTGCTCGTTTTAGTTCTTCTATAAACGGAGACATGAATTTCTCGTTCATCCGCTACCTTGACCAGACGCTTACAAACTATCCTTATCGTAGCGGCTAGACTAGCTCGAACGGTATACGCTTAAATCGTACGGATTCTCTCGCTCGTTCTGAATCGTCTCGCCGAAAAATGACAAGGAAAATAATGTCGTATCTGCCGGAGCGAAGGAGGCCTCGTCTCCTCGAGAAGGAAACGTCACATCGCGGTTCATCTTTACGCGATATAAATCGATTTGTCGATATACGGCGGTTCGTTCGACTTATTCCTTCAAGAAACGATCGCAGTCCTCAACGAGAAGCGCCTCAATTCCATGTGAATTCAAAGAAAGAGGAGTGTCGTCGCGAAATGTCGGCGTCTCTTTATTCATCGTGTGTATATACAGTGGTCACTTATTAAATCTCTTTTTTTGTTTCATTAACTTTCGTCATTATCGTACATTTTGTTTCCTCGTTTTTTTCACGCGAAACGCAGCATCGTTTCGACTATCTGTTCCCATTCTCCAATTACCGTAGGAAGATGCATTGGATGACGTAGAGGAGCAAAATGGATCGAATGCAACGACCAAGAAATCGATTTTTTGGGGGACGTATAAAAAAACGACCGAGGACACCGACATTTCCCTCGATCTACCTAAGTCTACGTTATTTACAAATCTACAAGCGAACGTGCCTCGTCTACGTTGTCTACCGGTAGGCTACTTCTCATAGAATCGAAGCATCGAAAAAATCGTCGTCGAAGAAACGACATCTCTGAACGAAGAACCGTTCGCTCCCTCGAGCAATCGGTTTCGTCGACTGCGTGGTTTTCTCTTCGTATTCCATTTTTATTCTCTGAACGTTTATCGGAATGATTCGGCTAAAATCTCTTTTCTTTTCTCTGTACATTCTCGTTCGTGTCATTCCGTCTAACGCACTTGAACATCTTTCATCGAGAGAACAATATGGACCATCAAAATGGAAAACCATCGAGTCAACGAATAACATGAAAGATCGCTCGTAGGATAACGACTCATCGACAGTATCTTTTCTTTTTTTTTTTCATTTTTTTTTTTGCCTTTTCCTCGCCGTTTTCTACCTTAATGGAAAAATACTATGCAATATACAGATTGCACGCGCTGCGTGAGACCTATCTGGGGATAGGTCGATCGTCGTGGTCTTTAAGATTCGACCACGACATCTCCGCGCGCTAACGTGCGCGCACGACGATAACAATGAATGTACACTAGGGATAGAAATCTATGGAGATCGATCAGCTTGTGTCTAAGACAGGCGACTCGCCGATCCTTGTACGGCTTACATGATCTATTTACACGCGAACAATCATACGCGCCACGACGTAAGTACTCTGGTTCGCTTTATTCTCCCGTTATATCCCGAAAAAATGCATGATAATTATTGTATCTGCAGTTTGTACTAGGATCGTGTTTTTCTCGCCCTACGGGTGGTTATCCTCTTTTTAAAAGGGAAATCAGAGGACTGAACCGGGAAACGGCACGTTTATCCGCGTAATAAGTAGCCAAGGTATCGAGAATCGGCGAAAAATCGGCGATTTCTCGATCCGTTGCTGATCGACGAAGAGCGTCATTGGTACCATCACCATCCGAGCTATGCGTACGTGTGTCTCTGATGGGTCTGTTATTAACGTTCCTCTACGAAGATCTGTCGCGGATTAGAAGAGAAATGATCGTTGTTTGATCGTTAAAGTGATCGAAAATCGTGGGCGAAAGTGGTCAGCTCTCCCTTTCTTTCTGTCGACGAAACGAATGCCGCGGAGAGATACAAAGAACGATTAAAAAATCAAAAAAGAACATCTTAATTCTAGCATGATAGCGTAATGCTCGCAAAATGAACGCGTATACAGTATGAAAAAATGATTCGCGAGTGTCAACTTATTGTTTAATACGCGCTCGCAACAAACAAAAACGTTGTATGTAGCACCTTATATCGTATCACCAGCGACAACGGTTCGCTGTGGATTCGACGCTCCAGACGCTTCGATCGTTCCGAGCGCCGCGATCCATCGAATCTCTTCTTTCGTATCGAGAAAATAAAAAAAGACAAATATACAAAGTGTGGAACGTCCGCTCACGTCAACCTCTCCATCTTATCGTACGTATCAGTGCCGTGCAACCTGTATTTCGAAGCTTATAAAAACTTTTTTTGTTTTTGTCTCTTTAATCGTAGTTAGAGAACATCAGACGGTTGAGTATCTATGTGGTAATAAGCAACAAAGATTTAATGAAAATTCTTGTTCCATTAAGTAGTAATTGATCCCTTTACTGAAACTAATTTATCGGATTTTCACTTCAAACGGAGAATACAAATTGTTACAAATGTTTTATTTTAAAAACATATTTAAATGATTAGCATTACTCTGAGAAATAATCATTCTGTCGAAATTTTCAATTTGAATGAAAAATCAATATCAGAACTTTTCTACGTCCATTGACTTATATTCGATACAACGTGTCTTTCTATGAGCAAATATTTTATTGAATATAGAGAAAAATACGAAAGGATTGTCGTTAACATACGTAATTTCTCATTTCAATTTTATATCAATATTTTTCTTGATAAATCGTTAAATCTTTTTGTTTGCTGTAAGCGAGCAGTTCCGATGGACACAAGAATATTTCAGTAATAGATAGATAATTAGGAAGAATTATCGATTGTGCTAACTTGCTAACATCTTACTTAAACTCTACATCAAACTTTATCTTTTATAATAAAAGTTTTACTTTCATCAAGAAATGTTTGTTAAGAATTTTGAATGAAAGGTTCATTCTGAATATAGAATACTGCCTGTATTGTACATCACAAGTACATACAGATTTTTTTATTTATACCAATGGAATCATAAAAAGAATCACTATAAAACCTAAGTTTCTATTTACGAACAACGCTGAAGTAAATGAGCGACACTCGAAAATGAAGAAATTAACGTGAGAAGGTGATTCTTAATCTAAGTACATCGCGTCTTGTAAACGCCGATCGCTAGAGTATTAAAGGAAACAGCAATGAAAGTCTCAAAGCTCGAGAATCGAACTGCCAGAACAGGCCACTTCGTCTCGCAACTTGAAATTTTGTTATTTTTACGTGTAGAGTCTGCGTGATCGGGCTACAAGATTCACACAAAATCTTTCGATTTTCTGTTTTTCAATATCAGTACATGTGTGTGATTGTATATACAATACAATGTATTGTATTTTCGCGGTTAGACAACGATATATAACACTAGTCTAACGGTTAATAATCTGATTTTACACTTACAGATATATACGCACTTAACGTTTATGTACAGTATACATATATGTATATATACTATGTATTTTCTATTTACAACTGATAAAACAGATTTTTATAAATATCTCCGTAGTTGATTTCACGTTTTTTCGTTAATGCCACTCATAGATTTATTGCATCTGTCCTCTACATATATAATATATATATATATATATTTATATTTATATATATATATATTTATATGTAAATGCGTTCTTTGTAATTATTCATCAATATACGTTGGTGTGAAATCCAATGTGATCCAAGTAGCGACAAACGCAACCCGTAGGCATCAAAAAAATTAAACTATTCATTTTGTTTCATTTAACTTTGTTATACACAAGGCACAAGCCTCCTCCTCTATTCCAGTTCGAAAATTCTTTATGGTAAATATTAAACTCTCTCGGTTCTTATTTACAAGCTCTTGGATCCTAAGAAATCTCGGAAAAAATTGCACCACCCACGTGCATCGTACTATCATGCTAACGCACAAATAATCAGGTATCCCTGTCAAGAACAGAGATAAAACTTTCTCATTGCACGTTTCGCCTCATATTCCATCGGAAAAATATACAACACTCGCGTTTCGCTTAAATGCGAATCACATGGTCACAACAATATCCCGCGATTCACGAAAATATATTCTCCATTCATCGTTCAGCACCAAAAATGAAATACAACCCTGTGGAATCTGTGAGCGACGCGAAAGACGCAAGAATATTAATGGGAAATTATCAAATCAACAACGATTATCTCGCATAAACAATGTATATAAATGAGAAACTAGATTCGAATGGATTCTATGCTCGATCAAAAGGAAACCGATCGTAACAATGTATGCAATACATAATAACCGTAAAAAAAGACAAGATATGATCGATGTATAAATGGGAACGATCTCTTGTCCATTGTGACAATAAATAATGCTTGTGCCTTGTGGTGATTCTGAATGCCTCTCTAAAAGCTTGTGTCATCGATCGCATCATCGAGCTAAGATTCAAAATTGAACTCGCTCGTTATTCACAATGTAAAACTCTAATGTCTCTGGATCGACGAATGTTTGATTCGTTCGTCCATGTATCATCTTCACATCTCGTTTCCAAATCTTTGGAAACTGGCAGACGTAACAGCTTCGGTCATGGCGTTAATGGCCATGGCGTTTACGGTCATGGCATTTCATTTCATTTCGCATAATATTTTATTGGCTGACAACAATTAAGTAACACCAGTTAACCTAATCGTCAGCTTAAGCTGTTCTCAAACAACCCCTGGCTGCATGGTCAACAGGTACGTCGTGGGGTCATAATATCCAGCCAAATAGTAAATGTCGTTGTTATCGTATATGGTCAGATATCTGTGCGGCTCTTTTCCCAGCTTCTCTGTGTATTCCTGAAGCGGCAGCACCTCGCATTTGTGGGAGATCGTTTGAACATCGTTCTCGTCCATGTGAGGGGACTCGAACAGGGCACCCTAGGGACATTCGTTTGAACAGATTTCATTAATATAAGAGGAAAAGTTAAAAAGTTAAACGTTCGAGGCTCGTGTCTTGCAGTGTAGGAAATTTCTATAATGATACTGATACTGATGTAACAGTTGTAGCATAGTGAAAGATAAAGACTGGTAGTTTTACTGTTGGGGACTTGTGTGTGGATGTGAATTACGTGGAATGACGTTTTCACTTGCACTATTAGTCTTTTTTCGCTATTTTTATCTTTCTTTGATTATTTGTTCTTTTGCTTTTTATTTGCAATTGAATTATTTGTTCGAGTTTCTTTCTCACTGTTTTGAGATAATATGAGAATAAAGTATGGAAAACGTTGCGGTACATGTACATGTATGGTGCATGTATGGTAAAACATATAGTAAATGTATGTATGTTAAAAATCTTATGTGCGTGTAAAATGCTTTTTGAGAATATGTCTGTCCTTAAAGTATTCTTTCTGCAGCGTGCTCGCGTTTATCAAACTGTGCAACTTAATTATCTGTTATCAACCACAAATTTGAAATTACTTCTGCCGAAACTGTCTATCGAATTAACACATTTCTTTCAGCAGAAACAATTTTATTATAGATAACAATGTTTCCTTCGATATCTACTTTCTTCTTATTGTTCTAACCACGCCAAAACTTGCAGAAACGTAATAATCAAAGAGATGCAAGAGTGATAACAAATCTCTATTGTTTCAAAGTATAGTGGCTGCAGAAGATATTCGCACGTCGTACTTATCATAGTCACTACATACTAATCAATTAACTCCAAGTACACAAGTAACGATATTTCGTATCGTTGAGTAATAATTTCGTATGACTATTCAAAATTTGATACTATACGAATGATATGTAAAATCTGATAGAAAGACTCTTCATTAAAGAATAGGAATAATTTTTCTAGCTAGTGTGATTATTTAAAACATCCCATTATATTCTTACCGGGTACTTCAAATTCTTCGGGCAACCCACGGTCTCCTCAGGATGATAGAACCACTTCACCTTCACGATCATATTGGAACTTGAAGTTTCCCACATGGATTCGATGCGCCCGATGTAGGGTCTATCGGGTCTGCCAGTCGACAGAAAGACCGCACTGTCACCGATCTGGATCGTCTCGCTACCTCGTTGAATAGCTCGAAAGAATTGTTTCTTGGCTCTTCCCTTGGCACCGGGTCGTCTGTAACCTTTTCCAGCCCAGCCCCACAATTGTCTCGCTGGCAAGAAAGCTGCCATTTTGCTTCGACTTTCCACCGATTCCTGTCGTTCACGCACTTTCGACCTCTTGTCCGTTTTCTTCGGTTTTTCGGGTTTCTCGGGTTTCTCGGGTTTCTCGGGTTTCTCGGGTTTCTCCTCGCGATTAGGTTCTTTGATCGGTTCCGGGGCTACTTCTTCTTGTGCTACTGGTTCTTCTTGGACTTGGACTTGGACTTGGACTTGGACTGGTTCCTCTTCGCATTCTACTGTAGCTACCGTTTCCTTGGGCAGTTCTTCTTCGCTCTTCTGCCCGCAACAACTTTCCCCACTGCTAAGAGGCATTTAAAAACATTCGAATTAAGATCGAAAAAGTAGTGTAGAGATATATTGCTTTAGTTTTATTTTATTTATTTACTTATTTATTTTATTACAAATCCTTCAATATTTTTCTATTCATTTATAAATTTCATTGCGCGAAACGAGAATAATAAGTATGAAAGAAACGTCTTCCAGTTTGATTAAATTTTTAACCCTCTCGCTGCGATGCGCTCAGAAAGGAATTGCTCTTTGAGCAGCCAGCGGGACAATGGGAGATCGGTCGCGCGGATGGCACGATGCTCCGAAAAAGATACTGTGACTGTTAAGGTTGATTAACCCATTAAGAGCTAGATAATTGTTGAAAGTATGATTTAATAACTTTAGTGAAAAATCGAACCATCGAGTTGCTGTACGGATGTTGGAAAGATAGTATAGCGTGTGCCTTGGTATATTTTGGATAGACAATTAAGTCATTACAATTTTCTGCTGTAATAACAATAGTAAAATATAGAATTTAAAAAAGGGGGGTTATAACTGAAACACCCGTTAACTCTACGTTTGCCCTTAATGAGCTAATGTCTTATGTTTTTCATTTATATCAATAATGATACAATAAATTTCCTTGATAATAGTATTTTTAGACTGAATAAATCTTGTTGTATAACTATATTTAATAATTTAAAAAATATCAAAGGTATATTGCAATAAAATCTTTTCAATTAATTTGTAGTTTATTTCGTATTTACTTATATTTACGCATATCCTACTGTCATTGACAAGAATTATAGATCTCAAATTGTTATCGAATAAATATAGATTTTTAATACTTTCAAACGGCGATTCAAAACAAATCTTCTTATATACAAAAAAATTAAAAAATTAATCCAATGTACCATAATTTAACACGAAAAAGAACAAACCTAATGTGACTTCCTTCGCTGTGACTGCTGTGATGACTATGCCTGTGCTTGTGTTTACGGTGTTTTCTGTGCCTGTGCTTTCTGTGTTCTTCGCAACATTTGTGCCTTCTGTGCTTCTTCTTCCCTTCCTGAGCCTCCTGTAATCTCTTTAATTTGTCTTTTCTCCTTTTCTTCATTCGCTTCCTTTCGCGATATTCTTCCAAGACTTTTGCATCTACGTCATCCACCTTCTGTCGATCCAGGGACTGTGCGTCAGTTGGGGAAACGTAACAACTCGTTGTGGATAAAACAGGAGTCAACGCGTTATTCGCATTCGTGGAAGTAGAAGGTTGACTGTTACTGGAAGAGCGTTTATCCTCCGTCGACATTGACGTTTGTCGTCGACGTTTTCCCAACGACAACAGGGGATTGGGATCATATTCTATAATTTGATAAAAAATTCGATATACATGAGTATGTTCAGATGATACAGAAATTGTTAAATACTATAAATACATATATGTGAAATTTCGTTCAATTTCGTGAAAACTATCTGAGAACAAATACTTTATATACGTATATGTATATAACTGAAGTTCAAGTAATAGAAGCTTTCACCGATTCTCCCAACTAGGTATTGCTTGTGCAAATAAGTGGATTTAATCGATAGAAATTCAGTTAACCTGGTACTAAATGAAAGTTTCGTTTGAAAAAATTGAGTTCAATTTTATACTGTTTAGAAATACAATTTTAACGATGGTAGATTTCGTGGTACTCATACACAAAAGTCAACTCTAATAATCCAAGAAAATTCCAAAAAGTTAAAAAAAATCCTTAAACCATTCCAATACAGTAATTTAAAATTCCCAAGGAAAAATGTATTTTAAAAACCAGTAATCTTTAGAATATCCCACCTAATACCATAAAAATTTCAAAACTGAATTTCAAATTCACATCTCTTAATTCAAATCTGCGTAAGTAGTTATTAGTTGTCTGAAAAGCGTCTTTCTTATACAGACACGTCTTTTACGACGATGCACCTTCATACAAACGTGGAACACAAGTCTGTGAAATGTTGCGGTGTTTATCTCAACAGAACAGAATGGATCGTACGTAATTCGATAAAATAATATAAAACAAAAAACGTTGCGCGTCTATTATTTTCTCATAAAAGGAAAAAAACTTTTTGGACAACCTAATACATTAGAAAACATCCAAACTTACCGACAACTGGATAATCAGGCTGCAACAGTCTAATGTCATCTAAAGCTATCCTGCCGCTATCCCCGTCATCAAACTCCACGCTAACAAACTTCTCATCGAGCTCAGGGTCAGGTTCCGATGGTTCGACCGAGGTACCCGGATACAAGCAACGATATTGCTGGCTCCAGTAGGCGCATAATCTCGTGCCAGGCGGTAGCTCTTTCGTGGAAGTGGGACAGACCTCGACGATCTGTAAACAGTAACGGAAAACAGGAACATGAGCCCTCTATACGGACGAAAGATAGAGTAAAATAAATCAACGTTAATTTACCGCGTCTCGTAGAATCTCTTCTCTGGAATGGATGTGAGGCCTGTTGCCCCGTTCGCCGTCCAGCGTGATCGCATAAACGTCAGGCGCCTGAACCGCGCTCAGCCTTCCGGCGTAAAATAGACCACCCATCGCAGTTAAGACCCTCAACTGGTCTATAGCCAAGTGCGCCGACGTTAATTTGCATTTGTTCACATTCTCCGTCTTCTCCGCTCGGGCAGCCTTCGCGCATTCCTTGCACTCTTTGCACTCGAGCGACTTTCGACGTTTTGACTCTCTCTTGTCTCGATCGCTCAACTTATGTCGCGATGGCGATGACGAACTGGACTTCCGCTTCTTCTTCTTTGATTTCTCGTGTTTGCTTTTCTCGGGTTCGTTTTCGGCAGGTTCGGCCGTGTCCACTGGGATTTCCTAATGAATCAGAGAGTAGATTACAGTGGATGAAATATTGGTATGTATCTTGGGTTTAATAAACATTGTGGCGGCACTTGACAGTAAACTTCCCAACAGTTTACGTCGCGTGACGCACGACACAAAGACCCTACACCTGCGGACAAGGTGATTGCCAGATGTCGATACATTCCTACCGAATATTAGCCTAAGGACCGCTATAAATCTTAGCTAATTTTTATTTTAGCTAAGGTCCCCCAAAGAGACAAACAGTCTTTGTTTATCAGTCTCGAAGTCGATCACC